TTGCCAAATTCTATGATCCACTCGGTTTAATAACTCCAATTATCACAAGATCTAAGTTTTTTCTGCAATCTCTATGGAGTGCGAACGTGGATTGGGATTGGGATGACGCACTGCCACAGCCCATTCTTTCGTCATGGGGGGAGTTGACCTCACAGTTATCGGTCGAACAGAACTTAAAATTTCCACGATTCGTACTGCAACCAAGGGCTTCCGTTGAGTTGCATGGCTTCTGCGATGCTAGCATGTCAGCTTATGGAGCGTGTCTATTCTTGCGATCGGAGACCAATGGAGAATCGAAAGTCCATCTGCTCTGTGCCAAGTCAAGGGTAGCTCCTTTGAAGGCCTTAACAATTCCAAGATTAGAACTTTCCGCAGCGCTTTTATTGGCTGAGCTAATCGTAAACGCCAAGGAAGCCATAGATTTCGATTGCACGTTTCATTGCTGGTCGATTCGTCTATTGTGTTGGCGTGGATTCGGCAACCTCTGAAGGAGTTTAACGTTTTTTAATCAAACAGAATCGCGAAAATTCAGGAGATGACGAAAGACATGACTTGGCATCACGTTCCTACAAACTTGAATCCGGCAGACGTCGTATCGCGAGGATGTACCCCAAGAGAATTGTTGGAACATTTCCTTTGGGCTAACGGGCCTCCATTCCTTCTGCAAAGCTCGTCGAATTGGCCGTCCCTGTTAGACTCAGTAAAGGATCTTCCAGAGCGCCGTTCTGTGGCTCTAATTGGGTCCATTTGCATAGACAGTTCATCAAACTGCAAATTCCTTAACTCTTTCGATAAGTGGAAGTTGAACATTTATCGGTTCATTTCAAATTGCAGAGCCAAATATGCGCCGTTAAAAGGTCGTCTTTCGGTGAAGGAGATCAACTCTGGAACTGTACTTCTTTTGCGGAGCATTCAACAGGTTAACTTGGCGAAGGAGTATGGATCTCTTAGCCAGGGCAAGCCGTTTCCACAGAAAAGCAAGCTGGTTTCGCTTAGGCCTATACTCGGCTCCGATGGGTTACTTCGCGTGGGTGGAAGGCATCAGAACGCACACTTGGACTACCATACGAGGAATCCGATACTGTTACCCAAGGCGATTATCGTTTATTATCATGCGAAATATTTGCATGGAGGATCGCAGGCGCTGCTTGCCGCATTACGGCAAAGGTACTGGCCAGCGTTATCAACAAATGCGTTCGATGCTTCCGAAAGAAGCCTGTCACTTGGGAGCACGTCATGGGTAGCCTGCCAGCAAATAGAGTGCAGCCCAATGCAGCTTTTCATACCACAGGAGGTTCATCCCTCCGCGTGACCCGCACTTCGGTGGTTTATGGGAGGCTGCTGTGAAGTCAGCTAAATTTCATTTCTACAGAGTCGTCGGTGCATACATCTTAGCCATCAATGAATTAAGAACTCTTTCATATGAGGTGCTAACACCGGCGCATTTCCTGAAGGGTTCCAGCTACACTAAGTTTCCTGAACCTGACATTACTCATCTTCCCGAAGATGCGAAGGCCGCCTCAGCAGATGGCAGCGGGTGACCCAGATGCAACAACATTTCTGGAAAAGGTGGAGCACCGAGTATTTGTACATACTTCAAGAGAGCCGTCGCCAAGCTAGCCGTTCTGCCCATCGATTCAATGAAGTGCTAAGAAAAAAAATAGAAGTATCTATTAAGTTGTTAATAAGGTGAAACTCCTAGGATAAATTTAAAATGAAATCAATGAAGTAAAGAAAAGTCCAGTTAATTTTATCGTTTTTGCAAGGCAAAACAGAAGATGAAAGAAATAAATTTGAGTAAATACCGACAAGTCAAAAGGAAAGATGTAAAGCAATGAAAAGAAAAGTCTTACACTGAGAGAAACAAAAGTTTTAAAGTGAAAAAAAGTTTTAAAGAAAGAAAGTAACCATCGAAGAATAAAAATAATCTACACTGAAAGCGTTAAAGTGCTCTTACAATTCATTTTTTTATAATTACACTTTTGTGGATTTTTTTATTTTACATTTTTATTGTGAATAAAACTGGAGTATATGAGTGCAGTATAGTAAAAGAACATAGAAAAGGAAAAGAAAACAATGAAGTAAAGTTGACCATAACTTAAAAAAGAATGCTCAATAATCCAGATTGTTGTTTTTGTAAAATTAAAGGGTATCCCGCCCCAGTCTCCCCCAGAATGCTGAGTAAGTTGTTATCCCACGTAAGAAATAATATTCGATGTAAATTTTCTATATTATTCGGTCTCTAAAATTCCACGATAGCCAACAAAAAAAAAACAAGAAAGGAAGTTAACTTCGGCAAGCCGAAGTTTGTATACCCTTGCAGTTATAATTATTAAATTTAAAAATTCAAAAAATGATATTCCCAGTAGTATAATATAGTATGTCAAAAAACACCGAAGCTATAATTTGTTTCACATTATTTTCCCACCAATTTTCCGATCGTTCCTATGGCAGCTATATATATATAGTCGTCCGATTATGATAAAACTAAATTCGAAATTCAGAACTAATTAAAAATTGTTATTTCCAAGCGTATAAGGTTATATGTCAAAAACACCGAAGCTATAATTTGTCTCATATTATTTTCCCACCAATTTTTCCTATTGCAGCTATATGATATAGTCGTCCGATTTTGATAAAATTAAATTCGAAATTCAAAACTAATTAATAAATTTCCAAGAGTAGGAGGTTATATGTTAAAAACACCAAAGATATAATTTTTTTTTCCGATTATTCCTATGGGAGCTATAAGACATAGTTGTCCGATCCAGCTGGTTCCGACTTATACACTACCTGCAAAAGATATAAGACTCTTGGGAAAGTTTCAGCCCGAATGCTTTAAAACTGAGGGACTAGTTTGCGTAGAAACGGACGGACAAACGGACAGATTTATAATTATCGCAGTTGCCAGATCGATATAAATACATAAATACACCTTAAATTTAACAAATTATTTTTTAATTCAGTGCCAATAAAGACGTGTTATACCCCATAAAGTATATATATTCTTGATCAGGACCACCAGCCGAGTCGATCTAGCCATGTCCGTCTATCCGTCTGTTCGTCAGTCCGTATGAACGCTGAGATCTCGGAAACTATAAGAGCTACAATACTGGGATTAGGCATGCAGATTCCTGAGATTCTTGCTCAGCGCAAGTTTGTTTCAGAAATGTGCCACACCCACTCTAACGCCCAACGCTAAAATAAAAATTTTAACTGAAATGTATTGGTCTCATCAATACCTATCGATTGACTCAAAAGTTTGCCACGCCCATTTTAACGCCCACAAACCGCCCACAAACTTAAAAAAATCGTACATATGAACGCGAATATCACGGAAACTATCAAGTATAGAGAAATGGGATCTCAGATTTAAATTCCGTAGCCCTGTACGCAGCACAAGTTTGTTACGCAAATATGCCACGCCCAATCTAACGCCCACAAACCGACCAAACCTGTGGCGCCCACAATTTTTATGCTAGATACAAAATTTTAACTGAATTGGTCTCGTCAATCCCTATCGATTGGTCCAAAAAAAAGTTTGCCACGCCAACTCTAACGCACATAACGCTTAAATCGGTCTACCGCCCACATAACCACATATTGAGATCACGGGTAGGTGGCGCATTTCAATCTCGCTTTGCTGCTTGCATATCTTCATTTCCCTTTGGTCCCATTAGCTGAGTAACGGGTATCTGATAGTCGAATAGGTTATATGTATTAAAATGTATAGCGTTATTCGGAGCGGCAGACGGACTGTGTAAAAGCTCGGCTCCAAGAACTTCATATAGACATTTACCGGCTTACAAAGTAGTTGCTGAATAGATAAGCGACAGCTTTAGTGGTATAAGAAAGAAGGCGACAAAGATAAGCAGAGAGCGCTGCAGGTGTCGTCGTACACCTATGCGCGCATGACTAGGAGCTGTCGATCTGCTCCGAACAGACGCAATGGAAAATTTTCAACATACATATACTTGCTCCTTGGGCAGAAGCCTTAAGATTTCAGTCAGGAGTGATCCTAGGGGCGACGACTGAGGTGCGAGTTGATCTTCTGTCGAGGGTGCTCTCCGGGGCAGTCGCCTTTGGACTTCTAGCCGCGGGGTGCTCCTCGAGCCGCGGGCCGTTGAACAAAATGGCGAGAAACTGCTGCGATCCTTGGTGAAGCGTGGCTGCGACTCCGATCGGGATGCTGTTGAAAGTGCTCCTTTTGGCAAGTGCTGCCGGGCCAAACTTTGAAAAATTGCCGCAAATTTTGGCGAAGCGTGGCTGCGGATACGGTTGAGAAATGCGACTCAAGCGCTGAGCGAAAACTAGTTTGACGAAGATGTGGGAAAGTCTTACTGTTTGACTCACGATTCCACGAACCACTTAGTGATTCAGTGAACACTCGAAGGTTATTCAAAGAAGAACGTGCAGTGTGGCAAACTTCATAAAAATTCAAACTTCAAATAAACTCAAACTTCATCGATATGTGTAACGGCGCCTGTAGTGACTAACAGAAAGCTCAGCCTCAAAGTATGCTACGTTTAACGTGATGAACCAAGCCTTGCCACCCAGCCTTAATCTTGGTTGCCGTAGGTCAAACAGCTGATTCAGGGTTGCACTGCGTCGGTATTTTTCCGGAAATACTAAGCAGCTGATGATGCAGCTTTCCAGTGCATACTTTGAGGCTGAGCTTTCTGTTAGTCACTAGAGGCGCCGTTACACATATCGATGAAGTTTGAGTTTATTTGAAGTTTGAATTTTTATGAAGTTTGCCATTAACTAACATGAAGTAAGGAGCGATATAATGGACATCTGAAATAAACCTGTGTTAACTCGAATTGACTGTCTCATTCCGTAAGCCTCCCTAACTCTGTCTACAAGTTTTATTGTGTTGAGATGGTGCTGTTTAGGAAGTAATCGACCCCCTTGTCTCTTCCCTAAGCTAGCCGATTTCGTAGGGATCACAAAATTCTTGTTACAAATTTCAATTTATGTTTAAAAACAAGCCGTCGACATTATATGTTTTTATGTACTTTTATTGGGCGTAAAAAGTTTACAGGTGTTAAAGGTATTATGTATAAAATTAGTAGACAAATTCGTGTTCTGTAGAATGTATATCTTTCTTTTACCGGTAGGATTTTTATGAATCCGAATTAACACACCAATTGTATGCGTTGTTAAACATAATCTGCCAAGGACTCTCAGCCTGTTTGGGGGAAACTTCGAAAGAAGGTGGAACATATGGCCACTGGTTCATAGCCGAGCAACGCTCTGGGTGCGGCATTAAACCCAAATGACGTCCATCAGTCGAGCAAAGTCCAGCAATTCCCCTAGGGCTGCCGTTCGGATTAAGTGGATAGAGTTCAGTGGGCTCGCCTGTATCATCAACATATTGCAGTGTCACCAACTCAGCCGACTGCAGTACGCTTATGAGCTTCTCCTCTCGGAATGCAAAACGACCTTCTCCGTGAGCCACCCAACAGCCTAGAATTAGATCTTTCATGCTTCGGAGCATGACAGAGCGATTCGATGGAATTTTCACTATTGCCCAGCGGCACTCGAATCGCTCTGATCGGTTGTGGAGTAGGGCCACATCGGGATCTACACCAACCTCGCTGCCTGGACATCCTACAAATCCAATAAGAGTCATCAGTTGGCAACCATTGCAAATGCCCAACGAGAAAACATCTTCTCTGCGCTTGAAGGCCTGAAATTGTGGTAAAAGGATGGAGTTGTGGAGAATGTTGGCTGCCCAGCCCTTGGCCGATTCTAGAGTGTCCGCATAGCTGAAGCCACCTGGGAAGATCAGTCCCCTATATTGGGACACGCTCGCGGTTCCTGAAACATTTAATTGGTAAATTAGTAAAGCCTTGAAATGCGGTAATTCCTTAACTCATCACTGCTCAAAATCATCATTCAGTCGACTGTGACGCCTGCAGAGCCAACTGCTACATCCGAAGAGTCATCGCTCTCACCAACCCTCTTTCTCGACCTATCTCTCTAAAACAGCACTCCCCCATCGTAACATAGGGACCGTGTTCCAACAAGAAAAATTCTAACCGTCCCTACAGTTCCACCATACAGCACAAGCAGCAAATCATCACAAAGTCGACGGCGAAGTCTTCAGAGCAGCCTGCGACGACGGCAAAGTCAAACGCAACGGCGGCAAAGCCGATTAAAAGATTAAATAAATTCTTCAGTAAGAATAAGAGAATTAGCTTCTATAGATTGTGTGAATCATACTCAACTTAACTAAAGACATTACAATCATATTGGTATTTCTGTTAAATGTTTGTCCCATTTGGTTTGAAGAATTCTCGGCATTAATTTTTTTATTAGTTCAAGTAGAGCAAGAGAAAATGACCAGTCCATTTCGCTTGGGATATGTGAAAATATCGCATGTTTGTGTTAAAAGCATTTGCTTAACAATAATATAAATAGTGAAATAGTGATGTTTTTTTTTTGTTTTGTTTTTTTTTATCAAGAATATTGTATGATAACGGTAAATGCTATTTTTATTTTTGTGTACGAAAAAAAATTCCTGACAGCTATTTAAATATGAGTCTCACATATCCACAATTTTCACTTCCTGGAAAAGTGTTATTTTTTCTGCAACTGCAAAATATATGAATGATATAATCTTTTGACTCGTTATATTTTGAAAACTTATTTGTCTTATATTGGATGCAATTGGTCAGGAGGAGCCCTTGGAGCCTCTGGAAAAGAAGTTGCAGAAGACGATGAGGTGTATAAAAAACCTAACCTGCTTCAAGATAAAGGCAACGCAAACCCCAGATGCTAGTAAGGAAGGAGGTGCCAACAACCCCCATGTATAAACAAATTAAATTAAATATTAAATATATTTTCTCCAAAGCGCAAAAAAACGCCTTATTAGCGCTAAAAAAGGTGTTGTGTTTGCTGCTTAAAAAAGTGCTTAAATACGCGCTTTAAAGGCGGTCAATGGGTTTTTTTTTTTGAGCAGTGATTAATCGTAGGACATTCCTATGTTAAATCCATCACCTTTTTTTATACAAATTGAGCTCTCGGTGATGATCTTCCCACTTTCTAGCTTTTATAGTTTCCGAGATCTCAGCGTTCATTCCAGTTGCTGCTATAACAGGGAAGAGGGCTATGGTCGAGTGCTTTGACTATCAGATACCCTTTACTCAGGTAAAGGAAGCAAAAGGGAGATGGAGATATACAAGCAGCAAAGCGAGATTGTGAAGCGTCGCCTACACGCGTTTTTAATACATGGTAATGTGGGCGGCAGACAGATTTAAGCGTTAAGGGCCTTAGCAAAGACATTATATCTTATACACATACTGCGACAACCAACCAATGTATGTGGACACGTATTCTCAAGCATTGGTGGCATGTAGGCATGTAGTTCTAAGCTAATTTTGGAAGACGATTGGCTTCTATTACTATGTTTATGCTAACGGTTTCATGAGTTATTGAAAGCGTGAAATAAAACTCGGTCCTATTTATGCGACGTGGCCGAAATCATGCATTTTATCAATCTCATCTGACAGAGATGCCGGTTTGGTGGAAAAAGGTGTGAGCGATAATTAAACCGAATATTTTTATAATTCGCGTGAAATAATCTTGCTAATATTAAAGATAAAGTGTGGTATAACATTTTTTCTACCGTCAAAATAAAAGATAAGACAAGGAAGAACGCTATAGTCGATAGTCAGATACCCACCCGTTACTCAGCTAATGGGCCCAAAGGGAAATGAAGATATGCGAGCAGCAAAGCGAGATTGAAATGCGCCACATACCCGTGATCTCAATATGTGGTTATGTGGGCGGTAGACCGATTTAAGCGTTATGTGCGTTAGAGTTGGCGTGGCAAACTTTTTTTTGGACCAATCGATAGGGATTGACGAGACCAATTCAGTTACAATTTTGTATCTAGCATGAAAATTGTGGGCGCCACAGGTTTTGTCGGTGTGTGGGCGTTAGATTGGGCGTGGCATATTTGCGTAACAAACTTATGCTGCGTACAGGGCTACGGAATTTAAATCTGAGATCCCATTTCTCTATACTTGATAGTTTCCGTGATATTCGCGTCTATATGTACGATTTTTTTAAGTTTGTGGGCGGTTTGTGGGCGTTAAAATGGGCGTGGCAAACTTTTGAGTCAATCGATAGGTATTGATGAGACCAATACATTTCAGTTAAAATTTTAATTTTAGCACCAAAACTGTAGGAGCCACATTTTTGGTGGTTTGTGGGCGTTACATGGCTAGAACGCCTCGGCTGGTGATCCTGACCAAGAATATACATACTTTATGGGGTCGGAAACGCTTCCTTCTGCCTGTTACATACTTTCCGACCATAACTAGTTTTCATTGGCACTGAATTAAAAAATAATTTGTTAGATTTAAGGTGTATTTATGTATTTATATCGATCTGCAACTCCGATAATTATATAGAGTTACCGGAGTTTGATTCATGATTCATGAAATGAAAGCGTGAAATGGCCATCGCATAAACGCAGTATATGTTGGTTGAATATTTTAAATCAATTTTAATTTATATAAATAGAAACAAAATAATGTATTATTCTTCGCACGGAATTGTGAAAGCAAAAGGAAAGTCGCGTTTTTGCAGAGCTTCCAAAACATTTGCTCAAAAAGTCCATTAAGTTCAGAAACATAAACAAATTCTATCGGACTATAAGCCGCCTGTGGTCTGCGATCATTTAGCGGTCAAATCGTGCGTGTAATCTCCATATGTGTGTATAAAAACACTTAAAACACATTTCATTTGGTCGAAAGTGGAAAGATAAAAGAAAGGAAACATACACACACATATACTGCAGTGCACATTTACACAAATCACTCAAACTCAAAATATACCAAAGCAACAACATAATGAATGCACCAAAGCGACTAAGGTAGCTCGCACGTCAAACACACAGTTGCTGCAACAAATTGATGCAAAATTCACGAGTCAACGGAAGGAAATCAACGTGGAACTGTTGCAGCTGAATTTGCGGAACTAAGGGAGTCACTGGGTAGAGAGTATCGAGAGAGCGAGGCCCGCTTTCTCAACAATCTACATGCAAAATTCGACGCAATGAACACTGAAATACACAACCTTACGAAACGAGTGCGAGAACTGGAAACCGAGGCAAAAGAGGTGAATACACTGAAACAACAAATATTTGAACTGGATGCTCAACTGGCAGCAAAGTGCAATGCACAGGAGGTCGCGGATGTTGCATGCAACCTGCGCTGGCATCAATCGACTATGTTTCTCACTACATCTGACCCCTCCTCCGCGAGTTAGGTCTATTTTTCGAGTCCGACCGCACCAAAAGAACTCACTTGTTGACCCAGTAATAATAATAAAAATGGATCACGTGCGCGAAAAAGCTGCGCTGCTGCGGGCGGTTGGAGTGCACCGACAAACAATCAAATCGCAGCTGAGCTTACAGCTGATCGGTTTTGACTCGCCGGCATTTATATACTTAAACGAACAATTAACTAAAACAAATTACGAAATTTTTAAGCATGCCATGCGACTCAAAAAACAAAAGTGCGTAGCGGCCGTCTTTACTCGCCGTGTTAAGTCTATAGACGGAGGAGAGGCTTTCTACGTGCAAAGCTCTAATGAGCTTTCTGATCTGAGTAGTGATGTGAGCGAAATCAACTCGAGCAGAGATGCCGCTTTATAGAATAATTCATTTCGTAATTAAAATAGTTTCTATCTCTATATTAGGATTTCAAATTCGTTTAATATCTTTAACTCCTGTTAGACATATGTTTAGGATCAGTCGCATTGTTAATTTAGTAGTTTCCCAAATTTATTTATTTTCACAATGGAAGAAAACCTGAATAATTCAACAGCAAATAGTCATGCCCTTCTCTGCATCCTGGCAAAGCAGAGACCTGGTCTCAAGATTTGTCATATAAATGCCCAAGGCCTGCCAAAGAAAATTGAAGAGTTTAGGTACACGTTTGTAAATTCGGAAATTGATGTTATATGAGTGTCTGAAACATGCCCTTCAGTTCCAAAAAAAAAAGTTTCACTTGTGAATAACCTTGTGAATCCCGTGGGACATGTTCTCTTGCACAAGTGAAGAACAAGTGACGCTCCATATAGAAAATTGTATGGGATGTCCGCATTTTCACAAGTGAAAATTCAAATGAAAATTTTTCGAAGTCCCAAGGGATTCCACTTGTTCCTTATACTAATTTTTCGTATGGCCTGTCACGTGCCGGTGACACGTCCCAAGTGAAATCACTTGTGACAATCAGAAGTTTTCCCATGAGCTTTTACTTATAGAATTTAAAATACATAAATTTGTATTTACTTTTAAATATATTTTAATTAAATAATGTTATTTATGTTTTCTGTTAAAGGGTTGTGTTTCACCCTTTGCAGGATTTTTACTGGCGCAAAACATTTCATCATCCACTTTCGGCTTACGGAACTTATTGAATACCTTAATACTTTAAACTAAGATCAATGCACAACATCTTCAACTTAATGAAACACTTACCTGAATTTATTATTTTCACTTTAAAGAACGAAAGAAGTAAATCTGCTGCGCACAATTTAAATGGCTTGCTTTCCTTTCAATAACTCAAACAGAATGAACCAAGTATTCCTCTCACCCCTTTACATGATTTCTTTTAATTTCTTTTCGCTGTTGGCGCGTGCCACTGCACCTATACCCTTTTTAAAGCGAAAAATATCAGACTACATAATTTTTACTATTTGAGTTAAAAATACAAAATTAATTCTTTAAAAATGGTACTATTAAAATGTTTTAAATATTTAATTAAATTTTAACGAACTAAATTTCTATAACTTAACTAAAAAATTATATTGTAATATTAATGTATAATACGTAAGAATAACATTAAAACTAAATTCAATTTACTTAATTTTACTATAATCAAATAATTTACTTTTATAAAACAATATTAATTGTTTTCTTTCGATAAACAATAATTCTCCTAAAATATTAGGGCATTTACGTGTCGCTGCGCCACGAAAATTTTTCCACCGAAACACTAGTCGCTAGCCGAACATAACGGAGAGATTAAAAAAAAAAACGGACCTGCTTAAATTTGTCTCTGAGAGCGCCGAGTGCAGGCAGATAGTAAGACAAAGAGAGGGAAGCAATCTGCCTCTCTTTGTTGCACGATCGTTTTCGTTGGCAGTCTTCTACGCTACGCCGACTTCTCTGCTGACGTCAACAGCGGCATAGCGTTTTAGGCACAGAAAAAAAAACAAAAAGCTTTTTGCCTTGAGCCATGTCACCGCGTCCCTACTGCAGAACTGAAGGGTGTCCCACCGGATTCACAAGGTGATTCAATTATGAAAAGACTTGAATTTCTCGAAAACTGTGGGTTTGAATTGCCTGAAATTTATTCAGAAATTAGCTTTAATGATGCCCTTTCGAATGCGATACCGTGCAAGTTGGCACAACCTCTGTGAGAGCTGTATGAATTAATTAAAGTTTGCATATATATTTTGATGGTTGATGTCACGGGTCATACGATTTATCGCAGGCCTTGACAGTGTGACCGCGTGGCAAAAGCCATAATTGAAAAGACTTGAATTTCTCGAAAACTGTGGGTTTGAATTGCCTGAAATTTATTCAGAAATTAGCTTTAATGATGCCCCTTCGAATGCGATACCGTGCAAGTTGGCACAACCTCTGTGAGAGCTGTATGAATTAATTAAAGTTTGCATATATATTTTGATGGTTGATGTCACGGGTCATACGATTTATCGCAGGCCTTGACAGTGTGACCGCGTGGCAAAAGCCATAATTGAAAAGACTTGAATTTCTCGAAAACTGTGGGTTTGAATTGCCTGAAATTTATTCAGAAATTAGCTTTAATGATGCCCCTTCGAATGCGATACCGTGCAAGTTGGCACAACCTCTGTGAGAGCTGTATGAATTAATTAAAGTTTGCATATATATTTTGATGGTTGATGTCACGGGTCATACGATTTATCGCAGGCCTTGACAGTGTGACCGCGTGGCAAAAGCCATAATTGAAAAGACTTGAATTTCTCGAAAACTGTGGGTTTGAATTGCCTGAAATTTGTTCAGAAATTAGCTTTAATGATGCCCCTTCGAATGCGATACCGTGCAAGTTGGCACAACCTCTGTGAGAGCTGTATGAATTAATTAAAGTTTGCATATATATTTTGATGGTTGATGTCACGGGTCATACGATTTATCGCAGGCCTTGACAGTGTGACCGCGTGGCAAAAGCCATAATTGAAAAGACTTGAATTTCTCGAAAACTGTGGGTTTGAATTGCCTGAAATTTATTCAGAAATTAGCTTTAATGATGCCCCTTCGAATGCGATACCGTGCAAGTTGGCACAACCTCTGTGAGAGCTGTATGAATTAATTAAAGTTTGCATATATATTTTGATGGTTGATGTCACGGGTCATACGATTTATCGCAGGCCTTGACAGTGTGACCGCGTGGCAAAAGCCATAATTGAAAAGACTTGAATTTCTCGAAAACTGTGGGTTTGAATTGCCTGAAATTTATTCAGAAATTAGCTTTAATGATGCCCCTTCGAATGCGATACCGTGCAAGTTGGCACAACCTCTGTGAGAGCTGTATGAATTAATTAAAGTTTGCATATATATTTTGATGGTTGATGTCACGGGTCATACGATTTATCGCAGGCCTTGACAGTGTGACCGCGTGGCAAAAGCCATAATTGAAAAGACTTGAATTTCTCGAAAACTGTGGGTTTGAATTGCCTGAAATTTATTCAGAAATTAGCTTTAATGATGCCCCTTCGAATGCGATACCGTGCAAGTTGGCACAACCTCTGTGAGAGCTGTATGAATTAATTAAAGTTTGCATATATATTTTGATGGTTGATGTCACGGGTCATACGATTTATCGCAGGCCTTGACAGTGTGACCGCGTGGCAAAAGCCATAATTGAAAAGACTTGAATTTCTCGAAAACTGTGGGTTTGAATTGCCTGTAATTTATTCAGAAATTAGCTATAATGATGCCCCTTCGAATGCGGTACCGTGCAAGTTGGCACAACCTCTGTGAGAGCTGTATGAATTAATTAAAGTTTGCATATATATTTTGATGGTTGATGTCACGGGTCATACGATTTATCGCAGGCCTTGACAGTGTGACCGCGTGGCAAAAGCCATAATTGAAAAGACTTGAATTTCTCGAAAACTGTGGGTTTGAATTGCCTGAAATTTATTCAGAAATTAGCTTTAATGATGCCCCTTCGAATGCGATACCGTGCAAGTTGGCACAACCTCTGTGAGAGCTGTATGAATTAATTAAAGTTTGCATATATATTTTGATGGTTGATGTCACGGGTCATACGATTTATCGCAGGCCTTGACAGTGTGACCGCGTGGCAAAAGCCATAATTGAAAAGACTTGAATTTCTCGAAAACTGTGGGTTTGAATTGCCTGTAATTTATTCAGAAATTAGCTATAATGATGCCCCTTCGAATGCGGTACCGTGCAAGTTGGCACAACCTCTGTGAGAGCTGTATAAAGTTATAGAAAGTTAGCGTCGAATGATTGTCATGGCTAAGCTGTTTACATTGTGGTTTATGTCTTAGTATCCAATGGTTCCGTTTCTGGATTAAACGGCCTTTTAATAACCTTTTTAACACCCCCAACTGTTAAGCAATTTTCTCAAAATCTGTGGGTTTGATTTTGATAAAACTTTCACAGAACAGTCCCTAGATTATCCCCTATCTACCCATATACCGTGCATGTTGGCACAACCTCTAGGAGTGGAGCAGTAGGTAATTTCATTTTTGCCCCCATTTTTTGTATGGGGAAAATCCGAGGTTGCGGTACTGTTAGGCTTTTTTCTCAAAAACTGTGGATTTGATTTTGATGAAACTTTCAGACAAGGAGCTTGAATTAACCCTTAATAGCTTGGTTTATCGTGCATATTGGCACAACCTCTGTGAGGGGAGCAGTTAACAAAATTGTGGGCACACGATTTTTCAAATGCATTTTTGAAACACTAATAGGCCTCGTATGTGTCCCAAACCTACCTAGCTCGATAGATCTTTTCTTTCTTAACAATCTAGCATTTTAGATTTTTCGATTTGGTCCCCAAATAGCGAGAAAATTTAAAAATAAAAAGAGCCCCATGTTCCATATTCCACCGTTCCCGTTTTCGTTGCTAACAGGCCGACGCTAATTTGTCGCACATGGTTTGTCCAGAGTCTATGTGATGTGCTAATATCGTGTGATGGATATAATGTGTACCGTTCTGATCGTGTTAGTCATGGGGGAGAAGATGCAATATATGTAAACAATAAATAAAAGCCAAAATTATTTGCCAACACACAATAAACAGTGCAATAGAATATATTTTTATTGAAATACAAAACCCAATTATGGAGAAAAATCTGTTAATTGGCTGCATTTATCGTCCGCATTGCAACCCAAAGAATGATGATCTAATCAATATTCTGACAGACATTACAGTAAACTTCACTGATGTAATCCTTGCAGGCGATTTTAATAGTGATATTCTGAGGGAATCTCACCTTACCAGCAACATGGAATCGCTAGGTCTGAAACCAAAAAAATCTTTCATTTCCAACCCACTTCAGCAGAACACGTAACACATTATTAGATTTGTATAATATCTTATCGTGATTTTAAGAATATTAACTATAAACTGTTGAACGAAGCATTCGACCAGTGTGTATGGAACAATATTTACAGTATTCCAACAGTTGATCGTCAACTTAACTTTCTACAACTTAATATTAGCCACTTATACGATAGTTTTGTTCCAGTTAAAAGTAAAACAATTTGAAAAACCATGGTTTACCAATAATATAAAATTGGCAATTATAAAACGTAATGAAGCATACCAGAAGTGGAAAAGATACAAAACACCGCAACACCACAGTATGTTTGTATCTCTGAGGAAAACGGTTACCAAACTAATCAAGTCTTCGAGCCAAACATGGAAACAGATTAAGGCTCTAGGGATAGGTAAACCAAATAAATCACAGGAACTAGATGTTGACATAGATGAACTCAACCTTAAATTAGCAGAATGTCAAGTTTCTGAGGTCACAACCAACACGTACCTGAATTCAGTACCTGAAAACATCTGTGATACTAGGTTTAGATTTGTGTGTTGACCAATGTGATGTTTTAGATAATATTCTTAAAATTAAGTCTAACGCAATTGGACCTGACGATATTCATCCTAAATTTATAAAAATTCTACTTCCCAAACTTATCCCTTACCTTACACACACATTTAACACGGCTCTTACCACGTCTACGTTCCCGGATTGCTGGAAAACCGCCAAAATGATCTCAATACCTAAATCAAACAAAGAATACCGGCCGATATCTATTCTTCCGTACCTCTCGAAGGTGTTTGAAAAAATTCTCGCATCACAAATAAATAATTTTATATCTGTCAATAGCCTCTTAAATGACCATCAATCTGAGTTTAGATAAAATCGTAGCTGCACTTCAGCCATCTTAAAAATAACTGAAGATATTCGTCAACAGACGGACAACTCGTAT